AGGGCTGCACGAGGAGAGTGGGCAAAGGTCAGAACAGATGCCCCAGTTCTGGGTGGATGAGAAGCCACCTGAACAAGCCTGGAGGTTCACTGGTGGTGTTAGGGTCCCCTTGGGTCACCGGCCCTCCCACCCTCAGCAGTAAAAGATGACCTTGAATAAAAAATGAATCATGCCTTCTAGATGGGGCCGAGCCAAAAACAACTGTATGTGGGTGTACTCTGCATGATGCCCAACCAGAGGCACCAGTTTGCCAACATCCTCACTGTAATGTGGTCTTACTCCATGGAAATCCCAAACAGAGGTCTCATAAGTTGAATAACTCAGGCAGCACCCAGGTGCACCTTGTTTGTTGGAGGAACAAAATTTTGGAGGAGGAAGGTGACATTTGTGAATGTCTTCTAGACATTAGTAGCATAGGAAATGCCGATAAGTTCCTGGGGGGCAGGCAGCTGAGAGGGACAGTGTATTATCAAGGCCCCTAAGGCCTAAAGGCTTGTTTTCTGCACTGGCCTGGCTCTGGGCTCAAGGAAGAACTTGGCCTCTGCCAGCAGTCTTCCCTTGCAGGAAGTGCCCCCATGGCTCAGCAAATGACCTTTCTTGACTGTCATTTCTGTCTTCTGTCTAGAACTTCTTGCTTTTAGGGGCTGACATCAATTAGACTGAAGGAGGGGGAGCATCTGTGAGTGGACGAGTGGACAATATCACAGCTGGACCTGCTCTTGACCTTGCAGAGGCTCAAAAGCTGCAGCCATTCTGCCTTCTCTCCCATCTCCCTCTGCCCCATGGACACTAGACAGCAAGGAACCTATGACATCTGAAGACACACCTGACCTTCCCAACTTTTCTCCTCCTTTCTACCCTTCCTGTGTTCTTACATGTTCTCTTCACACAGTCCTTGCCTTACCCAGGGAATGCAACCCAACTCTATACTAGTCTGCAGTATAATTCCAATAATTTCTGTAAAGGAGAAGTGTGAACAGTGCCCAGGAACTAGGGAGCCCAGAGAAGCCTCCTCAACAGTAAACATGGAGATCCACTTAGCTGCACAAGTCATTCAACGTCATGGCTAAGGACACAAGAGTAGAGACAGATGGGCTCAAAGCCACTTCCTGGGCTGGTAATATTCGGTCAATAATACTGACCACCACAGGACCATCCATGGGACGCACATTTGTTCCACCCTGATTTCAATATTCTGATGCTTTTCCTACATTGGCCTCTGCCTCTGTGCTTCGTTCTGGAGAAGTTGTGGAGGGTCAAAGAGTGAATGAGAAAAGCACATGGTGTGTGCCCTCAAGCTTACAGTCAGAAGCAGGAGCCCAGAACACTGTCCTCTAAGAGCCAGGTAATAATATTTTAAGCCCACATCACCTTTGTTGCAAGTTACGCTGTCATTGCAACAGAAAATAGCCACAAACAGGAGTGAGTGTGGCTATGTTCCAATAAAACTTTATTTACAAAAACAAGTGGTAGACCAGATTTGACCTGTGGACCATAGTTGTCCCAGCCCTCATCTAAAAGAACAATTCACCAAGAAAGAACAGAGTTTACAAGAGAATACAAGCCTGGTTTATTCTTAGGAAATTCATTAAAAAACATAACATGCCAGGTCATGGATTAATACTGTACTGACTTGAGCTGAGCCTGGTTTGCCTTAGAACTGTGGCTCTGCCACCTTTTCACTCTCACTATTCTGATTTCCGCCAACTCCTGTTGTAAAAAAGCATGAGTGGTCACTAGTCAGCACACCACCCAGAACACTGTGCTCAACATTAAACATGTCAAATGCCTTTGTTGTACATGTCACTTTGTATCATGACACAGGAAAACTATAGATGGAAATAAAATATGTAAAATGCTCAGAATAATAATTCTTGCCTCCTGCTAAGCTAAATGAATAAATTATAATCACCCATTCCCAATTATTAGCAATTTATCAATATACTAAAAGTAGAATGATACATACACATATGTGTGCATGTGTATGTATACATATATACATAGGGGAGAGGATACTAGAGATTGAAGTCGGGGCCTTGCACTTGTAGGCAAGTACTCTTACCACTTGAGCCACACATCCAGTCCTAAAAGAAATCTTCCCTAAACCACCAAGCTGTATCTCACTTAATGGTGAAACCACTGAAGTATTCTTTAGCTTTTATCTCAAGGTAAAATGCCTTTGGCCAGGAAATCCAAAGTGTTCCTTGTGAGGAAGTGAGAGGGTGAAAGAATGCCTGGAACGCTCGTGAGGAACATGCCAATTCTTCCCTGAAGATTATTACAGCCATGCTAGTGCCCTGGCTGTGGACTATCTGAGAAAATAATTTAGAATAAAAACTGCCTGTCTTCTTCTCTGCCAATGTGTGTGTGTGCATGTGCAAGTAAGAATGTTGTGCCCACATGGGTATGGGTGCACGTGTGTGTGTGCACGCATCTGTATTGTTTGTACGTGTGTGCATGCATGAGCCTGTGTGCACGTGTTATGTGTGTGCGTGTAGGTCTGAAGGAGTGTGCATGTATGAATACATGGGCAGTACATGTGTACATGTTTATGTGTAGGTTTGTGCACATCTTTGTGTGTGTGTGCATGTGCCCATGTTTATGTACATGTGTGTTTGTGTGCATGTATACAGACTTGCAGCTAAGAGCTGAGAACAGCCCATGGTCTGTAAGCTGTGTGAAACTGTTACTTTCTCCTTATTTTTTTGTTTTGAGATTCTGGAAATCAAACCCAGGGCCTTTACACATGCTTGGCAAGTGCTCTATCACTGAGCAGCACCCACAGCCAACACATTCATTAGAGAGCTCAACATGTCGCCCTCAGCACTGAATCCTGCTTAGCTGGGCCTGTCACTGATGAGCAAGTCTTCCTAAAGATGCTCAACACCAAGATGGGTATCATGGTGCATGCTTGCAATCCCAGCATTTAGGAGGCCAAGGCAGAAGGACTGGAAGACCCTGTCTCAAAAAATAAATAAATAAGGGCAACTTAGCATCTGCTGAGCCTCATGAAAACCTGGGTCCATAATAAGACACACTAATAGGGCTGGCGGAGTGGCTCAAGCGGTAAGAGTATCTGCCTAGCAAGCGTGAGGACCTGAGTTTAAGCTCCGGTGCAGCCAAAAAATAAGAAAAAACCCAACACATGCTAGTAAGTGGTTGTGGTTGGCAAGCTTACAAAGACTCAGCCTTTTACCCATGATGCTTTAGGTTGTAGGTGACAGCCACCTAATAAATATTAAAAATGTTAGATGGTTTTTTTTTTTTTTTTGGCAGTGCTGGGGTTTGAACTCAGGGCCTCATGCTTGCTAGGCAGGCACTCTACCACCTGAGCCACTCTGCCAGCCCTATTAAAAATGTTAAACCTAAAAAAGAACTAATAAATGTAAAAAATGTTTTAAAAAATAGGCACCATCAGAAAGCTCATGTTCGCAAACTGGTCAAGAAACGGGAAGAGCAGTGCCTCCAAGACACTAAGAGCAGGGATTAATGCTACTACTGCTTTACAAATCCGCCTGCCTGTTTGCATGTACTTCCTTCTCTCAGACCTGCTCCTCTTTCCTCAGGTTCATCCCAGGGGAACACCTCCATCAGTCTCCTGTATTTAGGACTGCCATGATGGACTAACACGAGACCAGGAGCTAAAATAAGTCTTTCCTCCCTTACGTTAAATTCTATCAGGTATTTGGTCACAGTGATGATAAAACACAAAAAACTGTACCAAGAGCGGGGTTGTTGCTGTGACTAAATCTGATCTGTCCATGTGGTATTTAAGCCTTTAGAACTGGTTTCACTTTTTTTTTGAGATGGTCTTGCTATGCTGTCCAGACTTAACTTCTGGACTCAAGCAATCCTGCTGCCTCAGCATTCTGAGTAGCTGGGACTACTGGTGTGCACCACTACACCCAAGAAATGGGTCCAGAATGGAAGACCCTTGCCTTGTCACCTGGCTGCATGGGACCCCAATGCCCATGCGCTTAGCCCCTCTGGGTTGCTCCCTCGCTTCATCCCATGTACGTGGGAGCATGCCATACCAGGCACACTGCCACCCCAAGCCTCCTGCTGGGGTTACCCTGACTCCTGGTCTTCCAAGACAGAGCAGCCTGAGCTTCCTGCAGTGGTGCAAAAGTTCTCTATCTGCACTGTTCAACACTGAGCACAGGTACTTTGAACATGTATGGCTGGCTCAGGACTCGAATTTTTAGGTTTTACTCACATCAAGTTAAACAGCCAGATGTAGCTGGTGCCTTCTTATGGACAGCCAGCCAGCAGATATAAATGGTCCCCAGCCCTCACACTAACATCCTGAATGCATCACCAACCTGTGGTGGATGCACAGTGCTTTTTACCTATGTGCGTATCTAGGGTCACCTTTAGGACACGAGCTGTATTATTCATGCTTGGTAAACACAGTATTTGAGTGAATGAACCTGTCTGCTGCCATGGAGTCTCCATGAAGACATGCAGCAGGCGTGATGATTGGGGTGCCCGGTGAAACTGCCTGGATCCCCACGCAGATCTTTAAGCCTGAACCCAAAGATACCGTTCAGCTCCAGGTCCACTTACTCCTCCTGTACCAGATACCATGTCGTCTCTCTCAAGTTGACACTGCTCTACATCCCAAGTAGGCTGGCCAGTTAGTCCCAGCTTGCCCGACTTCCAGGTTTTAGCAATGAAATGTCACTTCCTGGGGAAGAGCTCCAGGCACTCCAGTCTTCCTTAATGACATCAGACCCATCTCACTCCATTGGTAAAACTCCATTCTGTAAAACCATGGCCTGATTATTCCACAATACCTCAACTCTTAACGGGTCCAAACTGTTAGTCAACTACCAGCATTTGTACTAGGACAACTCCTAGTCCTAATGTACACCTGGCAATTCCTTGCATGCCAAACCTCCCGAGTGTGCAAGAACAGGAAAGGTTCAAAGAGTGATAAGAAGCTCTGGCCCTTGGCCCTGTTACTAATTTTCCTGATCTCAAAAGCAGATAGAGCAAGTCTATAAGGTTTATTGGGGTGGAGGGAGTGCACATCTGCACGCAGAAAGTGAATGGCAGTTACAAATTCAAAGGAAATATCCGTTATTAAAAAAGTCATTCCAGGCACAGGTAGTGGGCACAGAGTGGCCTTCCCTGTCCATAGTCCTCCGGGGCACTTCAATCAAGACTCAGGCTTGGAGGTTTCCACTGCTGAATCTCACTTCTTCTGAGATGAAGAGCAGTTCCATGGTGCTCTGAGCAGGTGGGAGGGGTGACCCCACTCTCCATTCTCTGTCCCCCGCAGCATCCATGATCAATGCTGAGAATCTGAAAGAAAGGACAGTGAGACTGACTTTGGGTTCCATCTGCATAAATGCAAAGCCGCTTAGCTTCTGGCTGTGGACCCCAGGCCCTTGGCATTAACTCACCAACTAAGAAATGTCAGCACACTTGGTTTCCAAGCCTTCCTGAAGGTCTTGGACTCCGCAGGCTTGGCTCCTTTGACAGCCTCTGGATCATGAGAGACCTGGGAAGGTGAGGAAGCAGACAAGTATTGGGCTGTTAACACCATCATCTCCTGCCCAGCCTGACATGAGAGGGTCCCAATAAGCAGGTCTGACTCCTAGTTTAGGCAAAGTAAATTAAAAATCCAAGAACAGAAAAGGTAAAAAGAAAAACATCTAAAAACTCAGTTTTTATCACCAGTCGTTTTTCTTTCCAGTGGTTCACTGTAAGGGGTGGTGACAGGCTCCACTGCACCTTGATCAAAGAAACAGACCACCATTCCCAGCAGCTCTCCTACCACGCAGTAATTATTCGTCCACCTAGCCTATCACAAGGCTCTTTTGCCAAGAAGCAATCTGACCCACCAAGAAAGACAAGCATGTGGAAGCCAAACTTCCCAAAAGATTGATGGGTACCTACGTCTCTGCAGACCAAGACTACAGAATCCATTTGAAGGCAAACCATGAAAACATGGTCAGTGCTTCAGGTCCCTGCACAGCAAGTAAAGACACATGGTCCACAGGACTCTATATCAGAGCTCTCAATGACCATGTCTGAGCAAAGGAGAAAATAAGCTGTTTTTCCAAGAAACAGCCACTATTGTCCTCTAATCATCCAACTGACTGAACTGATCAGCCCCAGGAGCACAAAATCTCTGATGCAGAAGGGACCTGAGGATAGGCTTGAAAGTCAGCATGTAAGTTCTGGCTTACTAGATGGCTACTAGCACTACTTAGCACTAAGTGCTTCACATCTACTATTCATGTTTCCTTATCATTATGACATGGAAATAGATAGGATCCCATCCTCCAAATGAGAGACCTGTAAGTACAAGGACTCAAGGAAGTACACAGGAGTCCTCAGACCAAAAGTGGACACTTATAAAAAAATTTTTATTTAATTCCTATGTGCATACAATGTTTGGGTCATTTCTCCCCCCTCTCCCCACCCCCCACTCGCTCCCTTATCCCCCCCTTACCCCTCCCTACCCGGCAGAAACTATTTTGCCCTTATCTCTAATTTTGTTGAAGAGAGTATAAGCAATAATAGGAAGGACCAAGGGTTTTTGCTGGTTGAGATTAAGGATAGCATACAGGGAGTTACTCACAATGATTTCTGACATGTGTGTTACCCTTCTATTTAATTCTTCTTTTGAGTTTTTTTTTTCTTATTTCTGCTATGTTGTCTATTATTTTTTTTTTCTATGTCTGGGTTTCTTGTTTTTTCTTTTGAAAAAAACAAAAAAAAAAAAAAAAAAAAAAATTCTCTATGTCGATAATTCTTTTTTTTATTATCTTACACTTATCTGTCTTCTTGTTGCCGATATTCATTTTTTTAATTTTTTTTTTTAGTGTATTGTTCTTGTTTTTTTTTGAAAAAAAAAACTAACCTTTTTCCTAGTTTCTGTCGGCCTTCTCCAATTGGCCCTCAGTTGCGGTTTAAGTTTATTTGCTTTAGTTCTCTGGCATTGAGGGCAAACAAATGCTATCTAGTTTTTTAGGGGTTTCTACCTATCCTCATACCTTCCTTGTGTGTTCTCACTTTAACACGGATCAAAGTCCATCCCCTGTTTGTGTTGGCTCTGATCTAATGGTCCGCATATGAGGACATACGATTTTTTTGTTGGGCCAGGCTACCTCACTCAGAATGATGTTCTCCATTCTATCCATTTACAGCGAATGATAACAATTTCTTTCTTCTTCATGGCTGCATAAAATTCCATTGTGCATAAATACATTTTTTCTTTATTAGTTCATGATGTGGCATACAAGGCTTGAGTGCATTTTCCCCCCTGCCCCACCCCCTCCCCCCTCATATACCCAGCAAGAAACTATTTTTCCCTTATTTCTAATGTTGTAGAGAGAGTATAAGCAATAACAGAAGGGATCAAGGGTTTTTTGCTGTTTGACCTTAAAAGGATAGCATACCCACGGTATTGACTCCACATTGATTTCCTGTGCAGGGTTTACCTTCTGGTTAATTCTTTTTGATTCATCTTAACCCTTTTCTCTATACCTGTTCCCCTTTTCCTATTGGACTCAGTTGCATTTAAAGTATCTGCCCTTTAGTTTCTCTGTCGTTAAGGGAACAAATGCCTAGCTATTTTTTAGATGTCTTAACCTATTCCTCACCCCTCCCTTGTGTGCTCTCGCCGTTATCCATGTGATACAAAGTTTAATCCCCTTGTTGTGTTTGCCCTTGATTAATGTCCGCCATATGAGGAAGAACATACGATTTTTGGTCTTTTGGGTCAGGCTAACCTCACTCAGAATGATGTTCTCCAATCCATCCACTTTACCAGCGAATTGATAACATTTCGTTTCTTCTCATGGGCTGCATAAATTCCATCGTGTATAGGATACCACATTTTTCTTAATTCCATTTCGTTCACAGTGTTGGGGCGCTTGGATGTTTCCATAACTTGGCTATTGTGAATAGTTGCCACAATAAACATGGTGTGCAGGTGCCTCTGGAGTTAAACCTGGTTGTCACAGGTCTTTTGGGTTATACCCCAAAGAATATACCACATTTTCTTAATCCATTCGTTAGTTGGTGGGCATCTTGGCTATTTCCATAACTTGGCTATGGTGAACAGGCTGCAATCAACATGGGTGTGCAGGTGCGCTCTGGAGTAACCTGTGTCACAGTCCTTTTGGGGTATATCCCCCAAAGAGTGGTATTGCTGGATCATAATGGTAGATCAATGGTTTTAGATTTTTAATAGCCTCCAAATTTTTTTCCAGAAGTGGTTTGTAACTAGTTTACATTCGCACCAGCAGTGTACAGAGGGTTTCTTTTTCCCCCGAATCCTTGCCAAGCACCTTTTGTTAGTGGGTGTTTGGCTAACGATGCTATTTCTTAACAGGGGTGAGGTTTTAATTTGCATTTAGTGTGGGTTTAATTGCATTTCCTTTATTGCTAGAATGGTGAGGAATTTTTTCATGTGTTTTTTTTGCCATTTGGAATTTCTTCTTTTGAAGAAAGTTCTGTTTAAGTTCACTTCCATTTCTATTGGTTCAATTAATTTTGGGTGAATTTAGTTTTTTAAGTTCCCTGGTATATTCTTGGTTTATCAGCCCTTTGTCTTGATGTGTACCTGCAAATGTTTCTCCCACTCTGTGGGTGTTCTCTTCAGTTTAGAGACCATTTCTTTTGTTGGGCAGAAGCTTTTTAGTTTTATGAAGTCCCATTTATCTATGCTGGCTCTTAGTTGCTCAATGACCATGGTACAGACAGCCACAATCACTTTCGGATGCAGGGACAGAGGAGAGCCAGGAATGGCCCCACATATGAGGGTAGCCTAGCTGTGCAGAGCACCAGCAGCTGCCACTGAACTCCACAAAGACCCCACGGGAGTCCAGCCACTTGCAGCTGCCCAGCTTAGCTTGTCAGACCAAATGGAGGGCAGAAGCAGATCACAGAACAGTCCACAGCACACTGCTACCCAGCCAGTGCCTGGGAGGGAGGATGAGGGCCTGGGAGTTCTTCTGACTCCAAAGGGGTCTGTTCTAAAGACTCCTCTCCCCTAGCAGCCACTGCAGGCAAGACATGAGTAAGATTTGTCACTTCACTTCACTCCCCTTTACTCCACCATCCAAGCTCCATGGAACACACACATGCCATTACAGAATACACACACATACATACATACATACACACACACACACACACACACACACACACACACACACACAATATTCCACAGAACAGCCCAAAGAGCTTACCTCCAGGCCCCATGACTCACTGTCCTGTTGCTATAAAGATACTAAGTCCTGTGGAGCCTCTGCACACAGCAGCCCCACCTGCAACAGACAGAGAGACTTGGCACAGGGTCTAGCATATTATATCCTACAAATGCTGGCTGTCACCACCAGCACTTCACAGCCACACTATTCCCTTAGAAGCAAGAAAATCAGAACCAAGGAAGGGATCTGCAGACCATCTGAGACACAAGTAACATCCACGATATCAAGTGCCAATTGGAACTTGTTAAGTTTATGTGATGCTGGCATGGTGGCTCACACCTATAATCCCAGCTAGTTGGAAGGCTGAAATCAGGAGGATCTTGGTTTGAGGTTAGCTAAGGCAAAAAGTTAATGAGACCCCATCTTAGTCATAAGCTGGGCAAGGTGGTTTATGCCTATGATTCCAGCTAGGCGGGAGGCCTAAGTAGGATAGTGGTTCAATGCCAGCTCAAGACATAAACAAGACTCTATATGAAAAATAACCAACCCAACCAAACAAAAATAACTAAAGCAAATTATGAGGTGACGCATGGCTCAAGTGGTAGAGTGTCTGCCTAGCAAGCACAAGGCCCTGAGTTGAAACCTTACTAGTGACGAAAAAAAAAGAGATGAATCACCGCTCATAAACAGTCCTATGCTCACTATAGCATTGTTTACCATATCCAAAACATGAGAGCAGTCTAAGTGGCCACCAAAAGAGGAAGAAAGAAAATATTACAACACACACTCACACAAATATTCAGCCTTAAAAAAAAAAAAGATACTGGGCCAGGTATGTAGCATCATGCCAGCTAGGTAGGAGGAAGAGATCAGATCACAGTTTGAGACCAACATGGGCAAAAGTTATTGAGACCCTATCTCAAAAAACAAGATGGGCTCAGTGTGGTGACCCATGTTTATAACCCTGGCTACTCAGGAGATAGAGAATGGACCTCAGTTTAAGATCACCCTGGGTAAAAATGTTATCCCAGCTACTCAGGGAAGCGTAAATAGGAGGAATGGAGTCCAGGCTGTCCCAGGCATAAACACAAGACCCTGTCTTAAAAATAACCAAAGCTAAGCTGAGTGCCTATGGCTCACAGCTCAAGAGGCAGAAATCAGGAGGATCACGGTTCAAAGCCAACCCTGGGCAACAGTCTGCAAGACCCTATCTCAGAAAAACCCATCACTAAAAAAAGGCTGGCAGAGTACCTCAAGAGGTAAGAATACCTGCCCAGCAAGTGTGAGGCCCTGAGTTAAAACTCCAGTGCCACCAAATAAATAAATAAAATAACCAAAGCTAAAAAGGAGCTGGAGGTATGGCTCAAAGATTAGAGCCTGCCTAGCAAGTACAAGGCCCGAGTTCAAACCCCATTACTGCCAAAAAGTGTTGGGAGGCAGGGAGTTGCATGTGTCCTATTTGCCAAATGGATGGACCTGAAGGACATTAAGCCAGACATAGAAAGAGAAATAGAAGAAATATCACATGGTCTCATTTGTATATGGAATACAGAGAAAAGGGGAAGGTCAAAGGGCATAAAACAGCAGCGATGTAGGATGAGTAAGCCCAGAGCCCTCATGTAATGTACAGCACGAGGACTACAGTTAATAAAATATCATATATAGTTCTTCCTGCCACATACATGTATGATAGAGATGTATATCTGCTTTGCAGTAGTAACCATTTCACACCTATATACCCTCAACCCCACACTGTAAACTTAAAATATGTACTAGATAATTGGGACCTGAGATCAAGAGGATTGTGATTCATGGTCAGCCATGGGCAAACAGTTCTCCTAACCACATCTCCAAATTAAACAGAGTAAAATGAACTGGAGGTGTGGCCCATGCAGCAGAGTGCCTGCTTTGCAAAAGCCAAGCCCTAAGTTCAAACCTTCCATCAAAAAAGCAAAAAAAAAAAAAAAAGGTACTGAGTCAGGTTTGAGGGGAATGTGCCATGGCCGTCAGTGACCAGTGACCAGCACAGAACAGATGGGGTAACAGGAATAAGTTGTACTGCTGCAGTCTCTGTCACCTTAATGGAAGCCAGTGAACAAAATCATCCCTGTGCACTACAGCCCTCCCATGGCCAGGACTACAGTAGACTGTAATAAGCTTTATCATCAGAGTAATACTTTCAGCGGAGAAGAAAATGCCCAGGCTGCCCTACTCATGGGCACTCACTGACAGTGCTCGATGGGACAAGCAATCACCTATGACAACAGTCATCTGGAACCACACCAAGCCAAGTGAAATACAACACAAGCACTGCCCCTGAGAAGCTCACAGCACATAGGCTGGGAGACAAGGGGGATTGACAGGGAGGCAGAGAAGCTTCCAGGGGCGGGTGCCAAGAACACTGCTTCTACCTCCCTTCAAAAGCCTAAGAGAGCCAGGTACCAGGAAGCAATGAGGCCAGAGAAAAGAAAGACATGTGTGAAAGCTCCAGAGTTTGGAAAGGACAAGAGAGAACCCTCCAAACACGGGGAAACGCTTTCAGCATTTCCTCTCCCTGCACTATCGATGACCAGGGCACAGGCAGCCCACAATCACTTTCGAATGCAGGGGCAAAAGAGTGATGACTGAGCTGAGAAGGGAGGCCACTGCCAGCAGCTTAGTAAAGGGCCATGGTCAGATCAGAGACTAGGACACACAGGGAACAGATTGGTAGCTTATAGCTGCAGCAGCTGCCTGGTCCCCAAAGTTCCTCTCACATGGGGCTTTGCAAACTTCAGCATGGATTAAGAATCATCCAAAAGCACGTGAAAGCACACTGCTGGCTTAAGTCACAAAGTCTCTCATTCGGCACACCCAGGGCAGGGCCTGAGAACCTGCACTTCTTACAAGTATCCAGGTGACACTGACAATGGGTGGCTCAGAAACCACAATTTGAGAGCTTTTGCTTTAACGCTTCCTGAAAAGAGAAAGAAGGGAAGGGTAAATGAGGGGAGATGTTGAGGATTCAGAAGGTCAGGAAGCCTGGGATTACAGAGAAAACCGCTCATTTACCAGACTCCAAATGTGGCCTTCTTCCCATTTCAACTAACTCTGCAGATCCAAAGGAGGATGAGAGATGTTTGGGGTCCCCAGGGCACCTGGAACCCAAGGGGACTCTGGAAGCCCCACAGGAGGTTGCAGAGGAAAGAAAGGGGACCTTGCTGGCTCAAGGGGGGAGTGGGCAAGAGAAGCAGACTATGCCCTTCCTCTCATGACCTTGAGACCTTAGCCCTGAGCCTAAACATCGCTGCTCTCTAGAGAAGTTCCAGGGTTCGTACCTTACATGTGTCCTGGCCCAGCTTCTTCTTGAAGACATAGGGCCACTGGACCCACCAGCTGACAATCCTGCAGAGACAATAAGCTACATACATCATCTCTTAAACAAACATATTCAACCACCCAAGACGTTCAACAGGAATTAAAAACCAACCTCTCGACTGAGGGTGGGAGGCTGGAAGGTGGCTGCAACAAAGGCTTCCCTTTGATCCACTCTCTGGTTTCCTTCCATTCTTCCGGATGCCTCTAGCCCACAGGTCAGGCAAGTGCTTTACCACTGAGCTACCTCCCCACCACTTGACCCTCCAACTTTACCTGTTCCTCCCAGGACAGCCTAACAACCAGGCATTCTAAGGGTGTCTCGAAAGGCCAGGACCAATGGCAGAGGAGTGAATGGCTAGGAACAGTGGCCAGTGAGTGATGGCAATGTAGAACTCCAAGGGCCATGAGAGCTGGTAAACTCTGCAGAGGCCTGCAGGCTGGGAAATGAGGTGCTTTCTGTCAGAACTGAGCATACAACCATACCCATTCTCCCCTTCTTCTCTCATCAATACACACTTAAAAGACTCTAGATTTACAATGACATGTAAAGATGCCACCTTAACCAACCTTACACCCTTCCCCTGCTAACTCCAGCCTCAAGGTCTCCCTCCTCTTGTCCCCACTGTCACTCTTATATGAGTGTTTTAAACACCTGCCCAGGGAAGCCACTCTTTGGAAATCACTGCATATGCCAATGCTGCACCCTCATCACTGTGCTGTTCACTGCAGTCAATGCCCTGTAATCCTGAGCCACCTCTCACAGGATTGAGTTCTTACTGGGCAACAACCCCTCAACATATAGGTATGCTGGTAACAGGATGCCAAGCTGAGAAAGACCAAAGCATGATGTCCCTTGGCACTGACTCTCAGGTGGGAGCCCAGAAAGTACCACATTGCTACGAGGGCTGGCAGAAGGAAAACAGGAGTGTGTGAAAACTACAGGGTTTGGAAGGGACAGAGTGGACCCTCCAAACACGGGGAAAATTTCTTTCAGCCATTCGTCTCCCTGCACTACCAATGACTGGGGCACAGCAGCCCACAATCACTTTCGAATGCAGGAGCAGAAAAGGACAGAGGGAGAGCCTGGAAGGTAAAGAGGCTGGTGCCAGGGACCTAGCCCAAGTAAGAGAGAGCTCAAGGATCTTGCTGCTGAAGTCTATCATGCAAAGCCCATAAAACTGCCAAGGGGAATCAAAGCAGACATGCTTCTGGAAAAAACACCGGAAAAGCCTGGGGGCTGGAGATCAGTATCATCTGGTCATGGCTATAAAAATCATCTGGCCCAGCTTTGTTTTCTAAAGAAACAAAGGTTCAAAGCAGGTCAGACTGGCCCTTGGCTGGTGCCTGAGAATTTAGCTCTCAGCAGGTTACAAGCAGGAGTTAACTCACTGAGGGGCTCATATGGCTTAGACTCTGCAAACAATGTGGTTTAGGCTAAATGCCTGGTTTTCTCCTGGGAGTCTGGACTTTCAGTACACATGACCACAACTCACTAAAAGCCCTGGGCACAGTCTTTAACGGGCTTCCCTGGGCAGAAGCAGGGCACAAATGTGGCTGCACTTTCAATGCTAGGGGAGGAATGGGTTCCATTTGATGCTGAAAGGACAGGGCCTTAGGAAGCCTACAGACAGATCCTCCCAACTAAACCTTTGTGTTTTCCTTATTGGCTGTGTGTCTTTTATTAATTATGTTGCTATGGTAAATCTTGCCCACCAAATACAACTAGAAAGAAAATGGTTGCAAAGCTGGATGGTGGCAGAGGAGCAGTAAGAGTCAGGTATGATCTGAAGCCTGAATCCATCCCACTCACTGCATTGCTGCTGACAGCCCCAGCCCCAGAGTTCTCCAGCAGGTTGCTAGATATACAGCCTCCCTACAGATCCCAGAGGCCATGTGACCCTAGTGTCCCAGGCAAGAGTATCCACACGTCAAATCATCCCTCTTTCCACCCTCACCTTTCCCTAGATCACTACCCAAAGCACCAAGAAAAAGGAACGTTACCTTATGAGTGCAAAAGTCCTTAACTCCAAAGACTGGACTAGAGACCTTACCTCAAGGCCAGTGGTTTGACAGCACTTATATGTACACAGTGGTGCATAAATGTTGACTTGCATATTATTATCATTTAAACAGCCATTACGTATTTGCGGGGGAAGGTGGTACTGGAGTTTGCACTCAGGGCCTACACCTTGAGTCACTCCACCAGTCCTTTTACTGGGAGGGCTTTTTCAAGATAGGACTCATGAACTATTTGCCCGGGCTGGCTTCAAACCATGATCTTCCTGATCTCTACCTTCTGAGTAGCTAGAATTACAGGTGTGACCCACCAGTGCCTGCCCAGCCATGATATTTTTTAAGAACAAAAAAAAGCAGCTTACCTCTAGGAGAGGGACTGGAGGTCTTCCAAGGCAGGGGTGACATGTTTGTTCTACCGGCTATGCCAACCGTTACGAAGTGCTTCATTCAATAGGATGCTGAGGCCGTGACAGTCTTGAGTGTGCTGTTTCTTTAGCAGTGTCAAACACAGGCCTAGGGAAGGTAATGGGGCATAAGGAGGCTCTGTAAGGGCTGTTCTACAAATCCCTCAATCATACTCTACTATGCCCAGTCCTAGTCCATGTCACCTCCACACCCCCACCACCACCAGAGGCCATACAAAGATATGCCTGATAGAAGTGGGCCACTTGTTGCAAAGTTCTTCAAGGGGAGAAAACAGCAGAGCTGCTCTTGCCTTCAACTTCCTGCACAGGCTGTTTACTCAGTATTTCCCACAAGGGAAGAAACTCTACCACCTCACAAAAGCACTCTCCTTTCTTTTTTTTCATTTGTCCCACCCAGAACTCAGACCTCTGGCAGACAGCAAAGCAACAACAACTTCCACAAGTCCAATTAGTGCTGAGGTGGGAGTGGCTAAAGGTGGGAGGTAAAGTAAGCTTCCAGGAGGAAGAAGGTGGCCACTGTTGGGGCTACACCCCAGCCCACCTATTCCAGGAGGTGAGGTTCACTAAACTGGAAGATGCCTGGCAGTTGGAGACATCTCACAGGTTGGAAGTAGAGATGTGGGAAAGCTGCAGGGTTTGGTAAGGATAGAGCAGACCTTCCAAACACGGGGAAAGGCTTTCGCATTCCTCTCCCTGCACTATCGATGACCAGGGCACAGAGAGCCCATGATCACTTTCGAATGCAGGGGTAGAAAAAGCAGGTTAGCCAAGAAGGCCACCTTAGCCCACCGTTCATAGTCCAGGGAAGGGAAAGCTGCCCCACCAAACCCAGCATCCTGATAGCTTCAAAAGATTCCATCAGTCTCCATCAAGAGAATATAGAAAACCATCACTCTGGCAAAAATGTCTATAAATTGGCCAGCATTGGTGTAATCCTAGCTATCAGGAAAGAGATCAGGAGGATCACAGTTCGAAGACAGCCTGGGCAAATAATTCAAGAGACCCTATCTCAAAAAAATCCATCACAAAAAAAGGGCTAGAAGAGTGGGTCAAAGTGTAGGCTGAGTTCAACCCCAGTACAGTAAAAAAAAAATCTGAATTGTTCACTCACCCCACAAACACTGAGTACAAACCAAGAGAATCAATTAAGTTCTGCCCTTCTGGAGCTTTTGTGGCTTCCCTACTTCATAGAAAGTAAAGCTCAGGAAAATGAAGGGTACTTGACCTCGGGTCTTTCCGTCTAGGACACAAAGTTTCTCATAACCAGGCTGAGCTCCACCACCAGCCCCTCTTGACAATCCAGGAGGAATCTCAGCCTCAAGGTGCTCATGACCAGGCAACACTTACCAGGGACATCCTCTCCCTGAACAGAAGCCCACGAGGGAGTGAGGGTCCTGGACCTGGGCTTGCAAGAGAAGAAGGGCAGTAGCTGCTGCAGAACCAGCAACTCCATCACAAGGACAGTTCCATCAGTCTTCAGGCCAGTTGCAGGCCTAGGCAGGAAGAGGAGACTCAACTTCAGTCCATAGCATGTGTGCAGGAATCATGACACTGCCCCTGGGCCCCGGACCTCAGCCACGCAGTCTGAAAAATGGAGTTTTAGTGCTTGCCTTGGAGGGGAGCTGATGGAAGGGAGTCAGTGGTCCTAGATGTGCATAACTGATTCTCTGTAGGTGACCTTAAAGTTTGGGGCTTGGGATGCAACAGTGGGAGGCTGGTGTCCAGGGTAAGAAAACCACATGGGCTCAGCACCCTCTACCCAAATACAGCCCCACGGGCACAGTGCTGCCAATTGCTGCCCAAGTGATGTGGAAGTGGGTGAGTGAGCCGGGGTCATGTCTGAAAGTCAGCCAAGAATGACCAGCTCGGACTCTATGGTGATGTGCAAAACAACGTAGTTTTTATTAGGAAAGGAATGCAGATACTCCCGAGTAGCAAGGGCTAGAGGAAAGCAGTCCGAGCCACAGCTGTTGTCCAGGGATATTTATGCAGCTTTGGGCAGGCTTTGAGGAAGTGGGGCATGCAGGTTCCTGGGAAGCTTTCTGATAGGTGAATTTAAAAAGGTCCCCTATACAGCTTTGGCACAAAGGCCCAAGGCTTTCTGATAGGTTGGGCTAAAGGTTCCTCCTTTGACTCCTTCCTCCTTCCCCATGTTGGGCCCACATCCAGAGGCGTTTGTGCGATCTTTAGGTTTTCTTGCTGACTGCATGACTGCCTAAGGCACATTACTGCCATTTTTGGGTCACTGGCCTGATTGCCTAAAAACCAAGCTAGCTATCATCCCCCTGTCTGAATTCAGATTAACCCCTGACTGCTGTTATGGAAAAGGGGCCATGACCATTCTAGCTGCTTCTATGCTAGAACACTATGCTTCTAGTCTAGGGTTCCTCCTCCAAGGGTTGGTCTAAGAGACCTCCACAGAAACGTGGTGGAAGGAGTCATGGCTGATTCCACCACCATTCGGAGTTTCATTGATTCTAGGTAAAGAGCCAAATTCTACAATTAGATTTAGTAAACAAGGACCAAAAATAAGGAGCAAAATAACTATAATGAGACCAAGAAGTATTATCTGCTTCTTTGCTTACAGGCAAAATACTGACTATGGATGGAGCCAGCTGCCTTGGACGTTTCCAGCTTGTTCCTTAAGTTTATCTAATATGCATATGTTAGCCCTGATTTGTTCCAAGTTCTCCTCTACTACTCTGGATGTGTTGATATACAGCAACATGTTTCATCTAGTGCAGTACATAGACCTCCTGCAGCTATAATGAGGTTATCTAGTCCTAGTATTGTTTCAGCCAGAAAACTTAGACCCTGTTATTGAGCCTCAAGTGCGGTTACCTTCCAGGTTTCACAGACCATTATACTCAAGTTTAACACAGATTTCTCTAACATGGGGATTCCAATGAACCAGAAGATGCCCCCATAAAGAGCATGTCCTCTACTGGGGTTTTCCAGGATAGGATTATTTATGGCCATGGCCTCCTCGGTCCTTAACATTAAGGTTAGTTTCCAGAAGGCCTCTGTGCTTTCTGGACTTAATTAATTCTATGCAGAGTAAGTAATTGTTCTAAGAAGGAGCCAGAATTAGGAATTGACCCTGAGACTGCCATTTCGCGAACCCCGTAACAGACAATGTCTGGGAGAGTGGCTACTACTGCACAGGTGTCTCTCCAGAATTTAAGAAGGATGAAATACATGTGTTTCCTACAGAGAAAACAGAATCCCGTTCCTCTCAGATCCACCTCAGTGGTTGCTCCAATTACCCAAGCTTGTGTTAACCTGGGTTAATGAATAAATCTTCAGTATCTTCTATATGCTCCCAGTCAGGCGATACTTTTTTCCCCAACCCATAATAATCGTCTATACAAAAGGGGGAGAAATTCTTACGCGTGGTGATCCAAATGCTGACTGTGGCATAACATGTTTCTAAAAATTAGTTGAATAACGTTATTTTTAGGTGCCTGGGGTTACTGATTTTGATGTGTGAGGTTGAAAAGTGATCCAGTGGATTGGCCAATTTCAACAAATCTCCCTCCCGGAGAAAAGCTGATGGGGAAAAAGGTCTCATTGGGTTAGGTTTTAGAGGTATTTCATGTATTCCCTCCCCAGAAAAGGTCTATCTTGGAGTAAAAGACATTTTCTTTTGGGCTGGTATTTTTGAGGGTCCATTTTGTTGTTGTTGTTGTTTTTTAAACCAAAGTATAGTTGCAGAAAGACATGTTGAGGAAACACAGAGTCCTTCCAAAAAATTCTCCCTTGATTAGAAAAACATAAACAAGGTAAGCCCTCTAGCCTCCATGCTCGTGCAAACGGCATAAGGGTACTGAGATGTTCCCCCGGTGGTATAGGGTAAGATGTTAAATCCATGGTATTTAGCCTGGAGAGTCAGGTGGGTTTCAATGGAGGCGAGCAAAGTCACCAATGGTATGTTTCTCAGCTTCCCTCCCCAATCTGGGACACACCCAGCAATCTGTCTTATTTGTTACTTGGGAGAGTTTTGATAGAGCAGGCGCCAGGGATGGGGATAAGGAGAAAAAACAGCATCCTGAGTTAACAGGAAGAGCACGAGAATTGTGAAGTAGTTCATCTTAGCCTGATGAGGGTCTACAAGAAGCTTACTGCCAGCAGTGACTGAGTCTCTCTGGGACAGTCCAGTGGGGTGGGGTGGGGGCGTTACAGAATATAGTCCTATTCCAAAAATAATTACAGCAGTTCCAAAAAACAACGAAAGCCCAGAGGAGTCGAGGCCCTTTGGCAGAGCAGTTCGAGATCTTTCAGAGGTTCACGGGAGGAGGAATAAGGAATTGGCTCAGATTCCGGTTCCGCGTCCTCCTGGTGCAAAGGCTTGACTCGAGAGTGGTGGACCCAGGAGTCAATGCCGTTCTCCGGAACAAAAGAACCCCAGGAGGCCCACGGCGGAACCGAGCCCCTCTGTCCCCTCTGGCCTCTTTCCCCTAATAGAGGGAGAGGAGAGCAGACCACGCGCCCCGCAATGGACTCACCCTGGCGCCCTGGCGCTGGGCGGTGGCTAAGACAGAGAAAACAGCTCGGTAAGATGCGAGATGTCTAGAGATTTCAGGAGCAAGAGGCAGACCGCATGGATAGACAGGAACTGAGGCCACGAGGTGAGGAACTTCCTCTGATCGCTCAGCGCGGGCGGAAATGCCGCTGAGAGCACGGGCTGCGGCCTAGAGCGGCGCATCCGCCGAGCGGAACCTGTGCTAGTCGCCTGCAGCGCCCCTGGCGGTGAGGAGGCCAACATCTGCCAAGGAGGACTTAAAGACAATTCTCTGTAATTTGGGAAGAAACCTTCCTGCACTTGCTTTGCATTTTGTTTGTTCGAAAGGTGTCTCTTGGCCATTGATTTGTCTTTAAACTGTAAGAATAAGTTTTCTGTGGTAGGGACTGGTACTAGGATGAGCTCTATGGAATGTATTTGGTTTGTACTTCTAGGGCTGGTGGAGTGGTTCAAGTGGTAGAGCACTGGCCCTGCAAGCCAGTGACCCTGAATTCAACCCTATAAAAAATTTTAAAAGAAAAAAAACTTTGTCTGTCCTTTCTTCCTTTCTTCTATCCATCCCTGGGAGAAGCCCATGGGATTGAGACTGTGAGAATGTGGGGAGTCTTGGTGATAGGGAGGAATCATGGGATGCTGTGGTTGAGTAGATGTTGGCAGGAGACTCAGATGTGCACCATAGTGTCCATATAGTCCTTGCCTGCCTTCTGCCCTTGCTGTCATTCCATGTGACCCTGGCTAAGTGACCTAACTTTACCCAGATTTAGTTTCCAGACAGTTACGTTTTCCCTTCATAACTCTGCTATAAGATTTAAGTGCATTGACTTATACCAAGAGTGAGTGTAACTCAAAGTATATATTTGAGACCTGTTAGTTGCTGTATTGTTTCTGAGAAAGCCAAGGCCTCTGTCACTGTGATGTCCCTGTGGGGTTCTCTCCAGGACAGAGGAAGTGGCCGTATTGATGTCTAAGGTAGCACTGTCCAGCCAAAATGCAATGCAAGCCATGCCTGCAATTCCATATCGCCTAAGAGTCACATTAAAAAGAGCAATTGTTTTTAATAACGTATTTTATTCAACCCAGTACTGTAAACAAAATATTGTGTCAGCATTTAACCAGTATTTTAAAATCACTAACGGGGACTTTACTATTCTTTTTCTTGTACAAAGTCCTTGGAATCTGATTTGTGTTTTACATTTACAGTACATTACAATTCAGAGTGGCCACATTTCTAGGGCTAAGGAGCCACACTTGGCTGGTGGCAGAAGTGCTCATCAGGGCAAGTCTGCAGCAATCTGTCTTTGATCAGCCTTTGGAATTAGGGAGAAAAGCAGCAGCAGGAGGCTGAGAGTGTGTGCCTCCCATAGCCTCTACCTGTGAGCCTGGAACACCATCAGAGGAGGTGGGCCTTAGACTCAGCTGGAGATTAAGGTACAGGTGTGTTCAGAAGGCTGGGAAGGGTCAGAGCCACTGTTACAATCTTTATTTTCTTTTGCATCTTATAACATCAGGGAGGGCATCTTGGCTGGTCCATTTCTGATTCCCAGTACATAGAGGAGGTGGGCTATCTAAGAAGAGTAGTTGATGCTTTTAATCATTGGTACATCAGTTAGAATGGATGTTTCAGCTGATGAACCATATGTAATTATTATTTGGTAGGTTAAAAATGGTTGGAGCCAAGCATGGTGATACACAGCTATAATCCCAGCTACTCAGGAGGTGGAATTGAGAGGACTAGGGTTCAAGGCCAGCCTGGGGAAAAAGTTAGTGAGACCCCCCCCCATCTCAATGAATAAGACATAGTGGATCATGCCTGTGATCCAGCTATGGAGACAGCCATAAGTAGGAAGATAGCAGTCCCAGGCCAACCCCGGGCCAAAATGTGAGACACTACCTGAAAAATAACCTTAAAAAAAGCAAAGTAAGGACTGGGGGTGTGGCTCAAGTGGTAGAGTGCTTACCTAACAAATGCGAGACATGAGTTCAAACTCCAGAACCACCAAAAAAAATTTTGCACGTTGGCATTTTTGAGTATAGCACCTGATAAGGGCAGCTGCCTTCCAAATGCAGAGTTGGACCACATAAGGGCAGAAATGACTAAAAAGTGATTGCCTGTGAACCCCCTCCTCCTCTTGGAGAGATTAAGGGGGCGGGGGATTAGGAATTCTATTTCTTAGGATGCAGCAGGCTATTTGTCTCACCCTCTGAGGGGGAAGGAGGGGGGCGGAAACCTCTACATCTCACCCCAGCTCAGTAAGGAGAGCTTCGGTGGGTCACTTGGAGCTTGGTCGTTGTCACCTACAGCTTGGGAGCACAGATGCCTGGGGCCCCTTCCTCTCCTGAGTCGAAGGTTCACAGTGTCCTTCAGCAGGTATAGGTCTGCGGATGAATGTGTCTGCCTCACCACTACAGAGCCAAGTGACCATGGACTGAAATGTCTGAGACCAGGAACTAAAATAAACCTTTTCTCTTTCGATTTTCTCAGGTATTTTGTCACAGCAAGAGAAAACTGATTAACGTAGTGGGTACCAGAGACCAGGAACCAGGAGATTCTGTTCCTAATGAGGGCCCACTTCTGGGTTTATAGATTATGGCTGTCTTCTCCTTGTCCTCAAGGCTTCTACCCTCAGGATTTGATCAGATCCTAATCCCGCCATATTAGGGGTAGGGTTTCAACATATGAATTTGGGATGGATACAGCATTCACTCCATAACAATTCATATGGTGACTTAATAGATCAAAATAGTAGTTTGCAGACTCAAAAATGTTAGTCATTAGTTGACATTGTAGTTATGCTGTCTGTGGTGTTGACAAAAGGCAGCAACATATCTCAAAGTATGATGCATTGCTCACACACTTCACGAACTTTCTATCTCCACATTAGTTCCCCTTTTGCATATACTCCTGAATAGAATGTACTAACTGCTTCCTAGTTAGCTCCTTCTTTTCCATTAGGTTTTATTTTAATTTTTTGTTATTGTTGCTTTTTTGTTTGGAGACAGGGTCTTCCTAGACTGGCCCCAAGCTATGATCCTCCTGCCTCCACCTCCTGAGCCCCGGGATTACAGGCTTGTGCCCCCATACCTGCTGGCTTCCATCAGGCTTTAGGTTAAATGCCTTTTCTTCAGAGGAGTCCCTGCTAACTAAACAGGCCACCACTGTTACTGTCTGCAAATCATCCTGCCTATTTCCTTTGTAGCACTTATTATTACTTTTTTTTTTGCAGTCCTGGGGTTTGAATTGAGGGTCTACACCTTGAGCCACTCCACCAGCCCTTTTCTGTGATGGTTTTGTTGTTGTTGGTGGTGGTGGTTTTTTGTTTTGTTTTGTTTTGTTTTTATTTTTGTGATGGGTTTTTTGAGATAGAGTCTCACAAACTATTTGCCCAGACTGGCTTCAAACCGTGATCCTCCTGATCTCTGCCTCCTGAGTAGCTAGGATTACAGGTGTGAGCCACCCGATGGCCAGCTATTTTTAATTATTACATTTTTGGCTTACTTGCCTATTATTCCTACTCAAGTGTAACCAACATAAAGTCAGCAATCATGTCTGTTTTCTTCATTATATTTCCAATGCTTAGTTCAATCCTTGACATGAAGTAGTTGCTTAGAAGATTTTTTGGATGAATGGAAATCTAGATAAGTCGATTGATGAAAAGATGAATAGATCGATATAAAGGTACCTGGATGGATGGGTGGAATGATGGATGGACATATATTTTAATAAATAGGAGGACAAATGGCCCAATGATGAATAACTGGATGGATGGAGGAGCCCACACTTGAGAAATATCTTCTTGGTAAGTGGATCCATGGATGGGTGGTTGGAGTGATGGGCTGAAGAAGAGATGCTTGGTTGGATGGAAGTTTGAAAATAGCGCCCCTGCCGGGCGCAGGTGGCTCACGCCTGTAATCCTAGCTACTCAAGAGGTAGAGATCAGAAGGATCTTGGTCCAAAGCCAGTCCGGGCAAAAGTTCACGAGACTCTCTCTCGGAAAACCCATCACAAAAATAGAGCTGGTGGAGTGGCTCGAGGTGTAGGCCCTGAGTTCAAACCCCAGCACCTCAAAAAAAACCAAAAACAAAAAAACAGCGTCTCAGTTGCGTGTTCGATTTTCAGCTCAGCTCCGCCAGGGGGCGCTGCGGCGCCCCTCCCGCAGGCGGCGCGGGCGAGGGGGACGTGCGGCCAGCGAGCCACAGGGCTCAGCCCCGCGCGGAGCGCTCCTGCGCTGCGGTCTCCCGCGCGCTCCTGCACGGCTGCAACGCCCCACGCCCGCCACCGCCGCCTTCCCTCCTCGCTCCCTGGGTGAGTCACTGCGGGTCTGTGCTCGGGCGTCCTCTGCACGGGTACACGGAAGGCCTCCAAAGCTGGTGCTGCGTCACCCTCAACCAGGGGAAACTGAGGCCGAGGGGCCAGGGTCAGCACCAGGCGAGCCCCGCCTCCCACGGGCCGTGGCCTCCCAGGACTCGCGTGTCCTCACGAAGAGACACGGGGTGGGCGGCGACCCGGGCTGAGTGGCCCCAGCGGGCTCAGGGCGCGGAGCACCCACGGTCGGGGACCCGAGTCCTCGTGCATCCTCAGCCCGTTGTGAGTTCCTACGCAAGGTCAGTCGTTGTGCAGGTCCTAGGCCATTGACTACTGCTCCCTTCCAAGGCGAGCACTAAAGCCTCCATTTTGCAGACGACTTGGCTACGATTTAAGTTGACGCTCCAGGGCCCCAGGGGACAGCGACCCGACTCCTACGCGCCTGCTCTACACTGAAGCTGGGTCCCCTGCTTCTCCCTGCCTGGGCCTGCTGCTGTCCTGAAGACTGATGGAAACTGTCCTTGCGATGGAGATGTTGGCTCTGCAGCAGCCAGTGCCTCTCCTCTCCGCACTCCTGCTGGAGTGGCTCCACTGTCCCCAGAGAGAATTTCCCTGGGGTAACGGCTGCTGCTTATGAAAACCTTGAAGCTTGGTGATCTGGGATCACCTTCCCAGGGCACCTGCAGAAGGGATGGTAAGCTCAGCGGGATACAGAGAATGTGGAAAATCCCCTGTGTAGAGTGAAGCCTGGTGGGAGCACATGAGGGCCTGGGTCTGAAAGCCAGAAAGACCCCCAAATCTGGAAGTCAAATCATGGCTGAGTTTCTTCATTTTTTTCCTGTAAGGTACGGAAACTGCAAAGTTTCTGTGAGGGCAGAGACCTTGGATCCTTTTTTTTTTAATAGGACTGGGATTCGAACTCATTGCTTTGTGTTTGCAAAACAGGTATTCTTCGGCTTGAGCCACCCCTCTAGCCCATTTTGTTTTGTTTTTGAGCCCTAGTGTCTGGCTGCAAGTAGGTATTCATTATATGTGAGTATTTGAACAGAAGCTGGTCTTCTTGTGGACTCTTGATGGTAGCAGATAAAGTCTTTATCTGAAGTCATGATCATATAGGGCCCAGAATCCTTTGCGCTTGACGCGTGGACAGTCAACAAGTATTTTCCATTGGAGGTTCTTTGGCAGGAAATGGATCTCCGTCAACAAGGGAACTTTCTGGAACCTCTACTGTTTCATCAGAGTTTGCACAAAAGGCCTGAAAAGTTCACTTGCCATAGACGATTTGTTGTCTCCTGTGGTGCTGTCAACTCTTCTTTTTGTACACGAGGAAAGGACAGGGCTCACGGGTTAGGAATAACAGCCCACATTTGTGAAGCAGCGAGCTACTGTGAGAGAAACTCTCCATGTGCTTATCAAGATGGGCTTGACCAGGTGACATTTAGGTGGCTTCTCTGGATTTCTTGTTTATTGCAGAGGTGTCCACTTGGTGCAAAGGAGTTCATGAGAGGTGTCTTCACCCTTCCAGGAAGCAGCTCAACCATGGTGCTCCCAAGGTGAGGTCTGAACTGTAGAGTTAGGGGCTTTGCATCCCATAAGGATGCACACAGGTTCCTTGGGAGTGATGTAGTCTGGAGGTGAGGTGAAGGTGGGTTCTTTCTGATCCCACTTTTGCCCTCCCAGGGGGCTTTGAGATGCACCTGACTCCTCTTGGTGTGCCTGCTTCAGTCCTGAGTCTTCAGGAATTACCACCCTTACTTTGGTGTTGGCAGCAGAACACCCAAATCAAAACCAGCAAGAATTTTGGCATTGTATCCTCCGGCACCAGGTCTCAGTCACCTCCTCACAGCGCTGGGACCTTCCTCCAGAAAGCAGGAATGAGAAGACAATGAGTCCCTGTCTTCCATGACCTCAGAAATCCAACACTTTTTTCTAGTGCTGTCTTTCCTTTGTCCCGCTTATTAGCGATGAAGGAATGCCCTCTGTTCTGTCCTTTCTGCCTCTGTACTCATAAGTGACCAGGGGGTGCCCATATCCTGGTCATTGGTAGTGCAGGCAGAGAAAATGTAGAAAGAATCATCTTGCGTTTGGAAGGTCCACATCCTCGCCAGTTTGGGGAGCTTTTCCATTCTCGTGCCCCTCAACTCTGCACACGCCTTGGACACCCAGGATATTGGGGCTGCCATGTGTGCAGTACCTTCATTATTGGAGCTTTCACTTCCTGTCCTCTGCTTTTGGGAACCAGGTTATGCATGTTGTTTAAGTTCCCCTTGATGGCCAGCTGTCACTGCCAGTGAGACATGGCATCCCACACACTGATCTTGGCATTGGCTCTATAACTGTAGTGCTGATTGCATACTGATCAGCCTTGGCACCATGCCCTAGACCGTCCATCATCGCCCTCTTTAGAGTTAACTCTTTTTCCTGAGGAAGTTGTGAGTTTGCTCAGGAAACAAGAGCTAGCAGTTTGGGAATGCTTCCTGTCTGCTAACTACTGTGCAGAGCCCTTTCCTGGTGCCGTGAGCAGTGACAAGCCGTGTGGTCACCACCAGGCCTTCCTGTCTCTTGCAGGCAAGTCCATTGTGAGCAGAGGTGCCATGGGAGCTGTCGAGTCAGAAAAATTCTAGACCCATGTACCCTGAGGTAAGAGCTCTGGTCCATTCTCTGGAGTGTTGGTCCCTTGCATCTGAAAGGCACAGAGTCCTTGCATGTTCCCAGGGGCTTCGATGATGAGGCAGGTGAGATAGAGGTGGCACCTTGGGTTCCCAGATCCACTGCCCATCCTGCCAACGTTGATCACATCTGGTTCTTACTGTTACCAATCTTAATATTTGTCCACCGTTTCTTTTTGGCTCCCTTGGCAGAAGGTACTATGAGACTTTTGCAGGAAAGAAGGGTTATTATTGGGGTCTTATGTTGGCTGGGCTGTTTTCCTGGACTTAGGCTATGCCACTGACATCTGCTCCTCTCCCTGGAGCCCCCCACACCTGTGTGTGTACCTGCATTCAAAAATGATCATGGGCTGCCTGTGCTCTGATCATCTGTAATGCAGGGAGAGGAATCGCTGAAAGCCATTTCCCGTGTTTGGAGGGTCCATACCTGTCCCTTTCAAATGCTGGCGCTTTCACACACTTCCTCTCCTGCCGACACATTCTCAGGCATTGGAGCTGCTGTGGGAGAGACAGTGATGAGAGACATTTTGGTTTAGCCTTCCTCAGTTTGGCCTCCTGTTAGAAAGACTAGAGAATGTTGGTGGTGGAAGGGGCCAGGATGAATTGTGTATAATGAACAAGTGCAGAGACAGGTGCTACTTGGTCACTGCCACAGGATTTTCACCTTTTGGAGGAGGTGGGCCTGAGCAGGGCTTTGAAGGAGTATGATGATCTCTGAGGTTGAGGTGAGCGAGAGCTCCCAGTTCCGCTGTGGAGGTAGGTGTGCCAGTCAGTAATGGCAACATGGAGGAGGGCTACTGGGGATCCTTCTCTCCCAACAAGGTGTGGTGGGACCTCAGTGGGAGAATCCCTGAGAGCAAGCCCTAGAGCTGTCCCTCTGCCAGTTCCCCTCCAGGAGCTGCTTTTGACTTTTAAGACAGTTTTCATTTCACTATTCTCTAGGAGTATTGAGATTCCTTTTTGAGATGAGCATGCTGCAGAAAAACCCTGCAACTTGTACCTCGTTAACTGAAGCATTCTCGTGATGTCAGTGGGAAGCATGAGATAATGGAGACCCAAAGGAACGAAGCCCCAGGGATGGAGGCCCTAACACGCTCGGTATGACCATCTGGGTCCCTGCTCCCTGCAGGGGTCTCCTCATGGTGAGTTACTGTGGGAGGGGAATTCCAAGCCACTAGCCCTTGTCTCCCTTCCTTCCTGAGGCTATGGTGACGGTCATGGAAACTGGCATAGCACAGAAGGAAGCAGACTGTCCACAGCTGCTCCAGCCTAGCACAGCACCTTTGCACTGTGGTCAGGCGGGACAGAGGGATTTGGGTTCAGTGGTGGACACACTCCAGCTGTTCTGCCCTGCCCCAGCAGTGCCCCAGGATACCATGAACATGAAGACTCGTTTTTCTTCATTTCTGCCAGGTCATACATGGCCAGACTCCGAGTCATCTTGCCTACTCCTGGGGTAACTGTAGATCCAAGACATCCTGGTGATGTTTTCATGGGTTTTTTTGTTTGTTTGTTTGTTGTTGTTTTTGAGTCAGGGTCTCACTATGCAGCCCGAGATGACCCTGAACTCACTGGGTAGTCCAGGCTGGCTTTGAACTCATTATCTTCCTGTGTCTGCCTCCCAAGTGCTGGGATTACAGGTCTGTACCACCACACCCAGCTGTTTTGTAGTTGGTGGTGGTGTTTTTTTGTTTGTTGTTTTGTTTTTTGAAAGAGAATCTCCGTATGTTTCCCAGGCTGGACTCGAACTCCTGATCTCAAGTGGTCCTCCCGCCTCAGCCTCCCAAGTGCTAGGCTTACAGGTGTGTGTCAGCACACCTGGTGTTGTGTAGTTTGTTATGCCACACATTGTTATATTATTACCCACGTCAGTAAATTTGGAAATGTGTCCTGCTGCTTGTTCTTTGGTTTTCATTGGTTTGCTTGTTTACTGATGCTTCTGCATCAGCGAGGCTGAGTATACAGAAGGTGGGTCTGGGCAGATCTGGTTCTTGCTCAGCTCAGAATCCCCACCAGGCACACTCCTAAGGCTTGACCTAGGGAATAGGGTGTGGGATGTGGATTTTGGACTAGAGGTGGAACAATCCCATGTGTGGTAGGCAGATGGCAGGCATGGGGTTTTGGTTACCGGAAGTATGTTTGGCCTTTGGGGATTATGTCCTGAAGCAGTGATCGCAGTGGTGTGCTCAGCATATGTGTGGCTCTCCACCTGACCTGCGTCCACCTGCAGCTCCAAAGTATGGAGACAGGCTGTCAGACCCCTGAAGGCAAGCATGGGGGGGGCATTCTTGGGGGCTGAAGAGTCCACTCTGCCAGCCTTTATTTCTGACATCTGCCATTTGCTTTCTAGAAGATCCCCCAGCCCTCTCTAGCAATTTCAAAGTACCACACCCCTTGTACTTCAGTGTGGAATGAACATGGTTCCCCCGGTGTGACCAGTTCCCCCATTTTTGGGGGGGACAGGGTCTTATTTTGTAGCCCAGGCTGGCTTTAAATGTGGGATCAAGTGCCAGGATTATAGGTGTGTGGTACTGCCACCACACCCAGCCCCACATATAGTGAAGTTTTACTGTGGATTGGTGCTCTGACATTGGTCACCCTCTCTTTCCCGAACAGATGACTGTCCCCTCTCATGACCAGGTAGTTTCCCATCAGCTATGGACAGCAGTGTCTGTTTCCCTCCCCTTTAGCATCTCTCCTTCTCACCGGTCCACAGTCTCAATCCTCCCTATGTCCCCGTTAGCCCATGCTCTGTAGGAAGGGATGGTGGCAGGCACACCAGAAGGGACAGGAAGAGGGGGGTTGCTGAGTGGGGGGAGGGAGCCTCAAGCCTGTGGAGGTGTGATTACTAAGGTAGCTTGCCCCACAGTCCTCCAAAACTCCTTCCTAACAAACCAGACTAGTTGATTTGTGGAGGGTCCCCGTGTTCCTTGTTCTGTTTCTGTGCATCCTACATTCTAGTATAAGGGACAGATGTGAAGGGCAGTGAAGGAATGTGTGAGAATACTTAGTCCAGCACTTGGTAAACAGTAAGCACTTGATAAAGGACACCTCTCCATCGTTAACTTGCTCACTTTCAGACTCACAGTGGTCCTCCTCACTGGCCCAGCCTCTTAGCTCTTCCTCTTCCTGCCCTCAGCAAATCTCGCCCCCACCCCCTGCCCCTCAGCTTCAGAAAAACCCAAGCAAAGTCCTCCCCCCTCTGCCCATCACCTACCTGTGCACCCTCCCCTCACAATGCCCAGGCCCCAGCCACTCTACTACTTAAAGGTCCTGAGCACATTCTCTTTTCTGCTTTGTGCCAGGACACATCCTCCACTACAGCTGACTCAGTTCTGCCACTTCCTTCAGGAAGCCATCTTTGGCTACCTCTCCACCCAGACTGCAGCCTCTGCCCCACCTCATTCATATCATGTACCGATTACACAGGCCCTGTCCAGGAACTGGTAGGTGAAACAAGCAAAAAGCAAATCCTGCTTCCCTAATGTAGAGGACAGAGACATCCCATAAGCAGAACAAAGTACTTACTAAAATATGTGATATGCTGAAGAAGAGCCAAGGACAAAAATCATAAAGGAGGGAAACAAGGAAGTCTGGGGAGGGGGGCAGGGGCATGGCATTTTGCACGGGTGGACAGGAAGATCTCACCTGCAAGGTGTGCTTTGAGTTTGTGGGCTCTCTCTCCTCTGGACATTCACAGCAGCCTTTGCAAGCCACCAGCACTAAGGATGGAAGGAAAGGGTAAAGGGAAGTCCTGGATACCACATCCAGTGAACCATGGACACAACAGTTGCCTGAGGCCAATGTTGTGCTGCTCTGATTATGAATGTCTGACAGGTTATGGGAGGGGCCAATCAGATCAGGCCATGATTAAGTCAGCACCAGGCTATGCATGTAGGCAGGCCAGGCTCCATACCTGTCAGCTCTGCTGCCCCCTCACCCAAGTGACAACTCAGTGATGAGCAAGTCAAGCAGATTCCTTTGTGGGGAGCTCTGCACATGTTGAGAACCTGAGTAACTACTGAAGGAACAGAAACGGGAGACACAGTATCTGAGTCTTAAGAGCTATACCCAGGCGTGCAGGACGATGAGCTCTGTTGCGCTCAGGAGAACCATTTCCAAAAGTCTTAAAGGTGGATTTTCCTGTGTCTAGACCACATGCATGCTCCACAGGCCTGGCCGTGGGCAGAACTCACACTCACCACAGGGCTAGGGGTTTAGACTTCTCCAGATTTTTATAAAGCATGGTCAAGACTAAGATAACTGTCTTTTTTTTTAAATGACCAACCAGCGTGCCCATTACTAGGGGGAGAACAGTGGGTTTCTGCTTGTTATAACCAAAAGACACACCAGCATGGTGCCTGACACCTGGAAGGTGCCCATATCATTTAGGGATGAGGAACAAGGCTGGGGGTGGCTTTGATGGTGCATACTGGGAATAGCCCATCTGCCTCCATGGCTACAGCTGCCCTAGCACCACACACCCTTCCCAGCCTGCATCTGGAAGTCACCTAAAGAAGACATAAGAACCTGTCAAATTCTGATCTGGCCACTTATTTGCCATGGGGCCTGGACCATGCTCTTCTGCCTCCCTGGACCTCGCTGGACATGAACAATTTTTAGCTCTATAATCTGACCACAGAATAGCATTCACCCCAAATAGCAAAGATTAAATAAGATGATGCACATTAAGTGCACGACACAGCACCTGCTTTGTGCCTCATGCTCAGTAGTCAGATATTTTTATCTGATGAGCATATATAGATTGACAGTTACAATGAAGAACAAAGACGAAATGTCACTATGACAGAGTCATCTGTTAAGACAACAACACTATTTTCTTGTTTGCTAATTTGCAGGTCTTCCAATGAGGGCTGGTGTTTATCATCACTGTCCTTGATTGAACTTTGATTAAATGCCACACTGTATTAAGCACATATATAACTACCACCTTGAATCTTCACAACAACCCAATAGGGTAGATTTAATTATTCCCTAGTTTACAAATAAGGGAATAATTAAGAGAAATGAAGGGACTGGGTTCGCACCAAGTGAGAGGCTCCAACAGGGCTCTGCTTCCTGGTGCATGAGGTATGAGCACTGTTACAGGCTGATTTCATAGACAGTGGGAGTGCACAGGCTGTCAGACTCTGTGTGCACCGGGATCCTGGAACTCAGGATCCTTTACCAGTCCCTCCATCTGTTTCAAATTACTGCCATGATATCCAGTCTTCCTAAAATAGTCCCCATCTAAATCAACAGGCTTACAGAGTGAACTATAACCCTGACATATAGGGGGTGTATGTTTCAGGCAGTCCCCAAATATCTTGTGTCCCTCCGATGCTATTGTCTACAGCAGGAGTCATCAGAGCCTGGCGCATTACTGAGGTGGCTAAGGACCTGGATTAGTGTCAAGAAGAGCCACGCTCCTACCAGGAAATTATTGGCAAGAGACCCTTGTGAAGCAGCAGAACCTCCTGGCAGAATTGAGCCAGCAGCGTGGATATCAGGGCAGGGTGTAATGATTTTTTTCCCTAGTAGCCACATTAAAGAAAGATAAAGAAGCAAGGAAAATAAATTTTAGTAATGTATTTTTATTAGCCTACTATATAAATATTGTCGTTCCAACATGAAATTAATATTAACAACTTCGTGGTTTTTTTTTTTTTTTGAGGCAGAGTCTCTGCTATGTAGCCCAGGCTGACCTTGAGCTCGAGATTCTCCTGCCTCCACCTCCAGAGTTCTGGGATTATAGTCCTATACCACCATGCCTGGCATTATTAATAAGATGTTCCCCCAAACCAAGTCTTTGAAATCTGGTACCTATTTTCTATTCACAGAACATCTCAATTTAGACTAGCCACATTTAGAATGTTCAGTTGCCACTTTAGTCACTGTATCAGACATCACAGATTTAGATGATAAGTAGTTCAAGGACATTTAAGAGTGTTTTAAGGATGCCTCCTAGACAGGAGGGCTGCTTAGGTGCTTAAAGAGGCAGCTCCAAACTGGGTCCCCAACTTTCTGCATCCTTCTCTCCTGTCTTGCCAGAGCAGGGCCAGGGCTGTTTTCAGGTGTGCCTGATGGAATCCAGCATCATGTTCCAGAACCTTCTGGAGGCAAAATGCCCAGTCATAAGTGGGCTTCTCTAGCACCAGCCCCCCTACCATAGCTAACCTTAGTGAGCTGAGTTTGTCTGTGCAGCCGGTCACTCCCCATTGAGCCCATCAATGGGGACTGTGTGCCCATCTGTGTGCTGAGCACAGGGAGGGGAGCACATGCCTGTCAACAGGTGTGTGCTAGCTCATTGTCACCCTCAATACCCACAGGGGATTGGCTCCAGGCCCCCCTCGGGATACTGAGGCCCATGGACACTCACATCCCTTATAGTAAATGTAATATTTATGTATCACCCATGGGCAGTTTTCCATGTGCTTTTTGTCACCACTCTATTACTTATGATACCTATCCCTCCCCTGGAATCTGTTTTCCAAATATTTTCCATCTGAAATTGGTTGAATCTGCAGATGCAGAGCCCATGGCTAGGAATGGCCACCTGCAGTGTCGCTAAGGTAAAGTTACCTACCAAAGAAGAAGTCGCTGAAAAACATGAGAAGTCCAATGGAGAAGGGACACCTGGCCTCTGGGATCAGGGATGGGGGGGGTTCACTAAACAAAAGAAGGGCCCTGGAGGACGAGGATGCAGGGAGGAGCTCAAAGACCTGTATGTGGGGCATGAGCCACACACACACACACACACACACACACACACACACACAGGTGTGCCCTCCCTAGCAGAGTGACCTGGGTGCAGTGTCATCCTCTCTGCCTCTCAG